ATCTTACTTTTCTACATCACCCCAGACCTTAAAACACAAAAAATCCTCAGCCCTAAACCCTGAACCCCCCAAACCTCAGCCCGTAACCCTATACCATACACCCCAAAACCCTCTAAGCCCTTGAAGCGGCCACCCATGCCAAGGACGCCGATGTTCTGGTTTTCGATTTCGCCCCCTCCTACAACTTCCAGTTCGACCGTGCCTTTGCACGTCAAAGAGAACCCTAAACCCTAAACCCTAAACCCCTAAACTTTAGGGTTCTGGGTTTGGGGTTTTCAACTCCACTCATGAGTTTGTGGCCGGGGGGGGGGGGGGGAGCGATTTGTTGGTTTCAGGGGGGGAGGCGATTTGCTGGTTTCAGGGGGCGGGTTGAGATTGCCGCTAGGGCTGAAAGCACCCATGGCCTATAGCCTGAACAATATTGCGGCGAAAATCGGGGTCGGTCACCGGCAGACCGGGTCGGTCACCCCTGCTCGCGGTGTCGGCCGCCAAACGAGTCGGGTTGGGGACCGGGGCAGTCGGTGTCAGGGACTAGCGTAGTTCGAGTCGGGAACTGCATGTGGCACGGATTCTTTAGGGTTTAGGGTTTAGGGCTTAGGGTTTAGGGTTTAGGGTTTAGGGTAGGGTTTAGGGTTTAGGGTTCAGGGTTTAGGGTTTTGAAATGGAACCCTGTGAAGCATCCTTACTTCATCAACCGGCGTCATGTAAAAATGCATGACGGCTAGCGGAGCCTGTGAGGAGCTGCATAGACACAAAGAAGAGGAGAGCTTGTGAGGGGCTGTCAGGGCTGTGAGGGGGCTTCTGGGTTCCTGACACCACTCTGGGGTGGTCCCCGATACTGCTAAGTGGGTGTACGACTCCGGTTCCTGATCGGGTCAAAACGGTGTCTGACTCTGGTGTCTGACACTACCGGTGCCCACAATATTGCTAAGCCCTAAACCCGACAAAGATGCCCTACGAAACCCAGCAGCCCTAAACACTAAAACCAAATCCTTCACCACCTGCTTCTGCCACGAAGCTAACCCTTGCAAGGCTCACCACCTGTTTCAGGTTTAGAGTTCAGGCACCCTAAACCCTAAACCCTAAACCCTAAACCCTAAACCCTAAACCCTAAACCCTAAACCCTAAACCCTAAACCCTAAACCCTAAACTTAACCACCACTCTCAGAGAAGTGCTGGGGGCCACCAGGCTACCACTTCGACTGGGAGTTGCGCCGGAACCGGCGCGTCCCTGGGCCGAAACATACCTTGGGGACCGAATGAACCCTCAACTTGGTTTAGGGTTTAGGGGTTTCGCGTTTTGGGGTTTTAGGGACATATACCCTGTAGGAGTAGTAGTAGTAGTAGTAGTAGTAGTAGTAGTAGTTGTAGTAGTAGTAGTAGTAGTAGTAGTAGTAGTAGTAGTAGAATCCCGAGTAAGGTATATGAACCGTAGCCCGTTTAGGGTTCATTTTGTGGGGGGTTTAGGGTCGTTTTGGGGGTAAAGGTTTTCTTGGGGTTTCGGGTTTGGGGTTGTGGGGCTTTTATGGGGGGGCTTACTTACGGGGACTTCAAGAGTTTCAGGGTATTTAGGGGTTTTTGGGGTTCGGGTGTTCAGGCTGTCCAGCTTGGGGCTTATAACGGTGCATAAGAAGGGACCCTCATCCCAACTTTAACCCGAAACCCTGGGAATGCGGGGATCCATGACAAAACATCCAAGCTGCCTCGAAGTGTGGGTACGCACAGAAGGGCTTATAAGGTTCAGCAGGATTCAAGATTTCAAGCTTCAGCGCTTCGGACCCAGGGTTTAGGAATTAGAAGAGTTTCTGGTCCATGTTATACCCTGTTTGGGGGTACAGGGCTTAGGGCGTTGGGGCTTCAAGGTGGTGCGTACAGCTGCAGGGCAACTAGCTTTAGGGTTTGGTTTGGGTTTTTTGGGCTTTTGGGTTCTTGGGCCTTATTCTGCACAGGCTCTGGGTCATTCAGTCGCAGTGCTGATTAGGATGTTTGGAGTGTAGATGGTGGCATGCTTTGTGTGGTAGACTTTTCTATGCAGCCCCAAAACCCTAAGTCTATGTTAACAAAAGTCTCTGACACCCTAAAGCCCTAAGCCTCTCCAAAACCCTGACACCCTAAACCCCTACTCCCTTCTATTAAACCCTAAACCCTTAAACTCCTCTAAAACCCTAAACCACTGCTAAACCCCTCGAAAACCCTCCAAAAGCCTTAACCCTCGAAAACCTTGAAAACCCTCGAAAACCCAAAACCCTAAACCCCTGTAAAACCCTAGTCAAGAAACCCCTCAAAACCCTAAAACCCCTAAACCCCTCCAAAACCCTAATCACGACCCTAAAGCCTACACCCTAAACCCTAAACCCTAAGCCCTAAACCCTAAACCCTAAATCCTAAACCCTACTCAAGACTGCGTCAAGAGGCCCTGCGCTTCCGGGAGCGCTGGCGCCGTGCGGCAACGGACGCCCGCGCAGCACTCTTCGGATCAGGGGAGCCCTTTGACGTCGCTTTAGGGTTTAGGGTTTAGGGTTTAGGGTTTAGGGTTTAGGGTTCAGGGTTCAGGGTTCAGGGTTCAGGGTTCAGGGTTTAGGGTTTAGGGTTCCCTTTGACGTCTTTAACATTTAGGGGGATCGAGGTTTAGGGGTCAGGGGATTCAGGAGTTGTTAAGGGGTAGGGGGTTTAGGGGTTCAGGAATCTTTCAGGGGTTTGGGGGTGTGGGGGTTTCGGGGTTCAGGGGCTTAGGACGGTTAGGAGTCGTTTCGGGTGTTGGGGGTGTAGGGGTTTAGGGGTTTTGGAGTGGTTTAGGGGTTTAGGGTGTCGGGTTTTTGAGATTTAGGTGTTTAGGGTTTCTCTGAAACTTCAAGCTCGCTCGGATTCTTCGGTGTTGCGCGACCCCGCTCTAGAGGGCTTGCGGGATTGAAGTCCAAAGGCCATACAGCCTAAACCTTAAAACCTGAAACCCTACACCCTACACCCTAAGCCCCAAGCCCTAAACCCTAGCCCCCCTAAATCTAGACCTTGAGCCTTTTGCCCAAAGGTATGCTGCGCTTCACTTGCGCCGGGACGGCTATGAGCACTTCTGTGCAGCGGAAGAAAGGCGGCTGGCGCAAGGAAGGCCTGGCATTAGAAGACGTTGTACCCTAAACCCCGAAACCTACACCCTAAGCCCAAAGCCTAAACCCTGAACCCTAAACCCTTTCTTGCTTGCGAGCATGCCATCTGAACAATTTCGAGGGTTTCCACCACGAGCTTTCGAGCATCGGAGCAGCAGCCCCTCATACACCAAGCACACTGCAGGTTCAATTGTTTAGTGTACGTTGCGGGGTATGTGCAGAAGCCATTCTAATTCCAAGCTCATGACATGCATGCATGCATGCATGCATGCACACACAGGCGAACCAAGTGTAGAGTCAAGCGAGAAAATGGACTCCTGTAAAACTCTCGCAAACTTCCGGGTCGTCATTCTGTTTGCCTTCCTAGCTGTTATGCTCGGACTGCGCGCTGTATCTGTGTGTTTGTTTTTGCATTGAGAGCTACAGAGAAACAACGCTCTTGTTGTTTGCTCCGCGTGCTCTCAGTCTTCTTTTCTGTGCACGAACAGCTCCTGAGGTAGGGCGTGTTGTACCTTTTGTCTTTGTTTGCCCTAAGCCCTTTGAATCCTCAACCTAAAGCCAAAACCCTAAAGGCTCTCCGCAGGACCAGAGATCTGTAAACTCTCCCCAGACACCTGCAGCAACTCCAGACCCTCCAGACTGCGAGCAGAAGAGTTTTGTGGATGTTTCCCAAAAGGCGTTCCCCCCTCCCCAAATACACCGCCATGGAAGCCCTAAGCACTACTTTGCGGAAGCCGCCCGGTTCAGCTTCCTGAGCTTGCTACACTCCATAAACCCTGGCCCTAAACAACCCAAAGCTCAAGGCCTGAACCCTAAATTATGGTTTAGGGTTTAGGGTTTAGGGTCCAACCTGAGTGCTTTTTGGGCTTGAGGGTGTTTAAGGGGGGGAAGAAAGGGGGGGGGGGTGGGGTTTAGGGTTTAGGGTTTAGGGTTTAGGGTTTAGGGTTTAGGGCTTAGGGCTTAGGGCTTAGGGTTTAGGGTTTAGGGCTTAGAGTTTAGGGTTTAGGGTTTGGGGTTTGGGGTTTGGGGTTTGGGGTTTGGGGTTTGGGGTTTAGGGAGGCCTAAACCCTAAACACACTGCGCCTGACAGTGGCCGACAGCGCTTTGGCTACGACGCCGCTCCGGCTGTATGCCATCCGAGTTTGGAGGAGCGCTTTTGTGGGAGAGTGCAGCCGGTAGGCCCAAAGTCCTAGGCGCTAAGCCCCAACCCTAAGAATACCCCACACCCTAGGCGCTAAGTCCTGTAGGCTCTAAACCCCAACCCTAGTAATACCCACAAGCCCTCGAACCCTTCACTCCCTTCCGAAAGCCCCTTTTTCTTTCTTCGGCTGGTGCGGACGCCTGGTTGAGGGTTTTGGTTGGGTTTGGGCTTCACAACCTGTTTACTGGGTTTAGGGTTTAGGGTTTATTAGAAACCCAAACCCTTTACGCCGCTTCTTTCCTGGGGGCTAGGGGTGGGGGGGCTTGGGTCGGAGGGGGGTGACCCGGGGGGTGTTGGGGTGCAGGGTTGTGAACCTTAAGACCCTTCAAAGGACCTTTTGGGTTGTGTAGGACACTGGGGCTCTCAAGAGCCCATGAGGTAACGGATGGGGGAAACCGCGAATCCTCACAAACCTACACCTCAGCGCCACCAGCTTAGAATGCCCTAAGCCCTAAACCCTGAACCTACAAGCCCTAAACGCTCTTAACCCAAAGCCCTAGCCCCGACCAGCCCCACCACCCCGCCCGAGCAGGGTTTAGGGTTTAGGGTTTAGGGTTTAGGGTTTAGGGTTTAGGGTTTAGGGTTTAGGGTTTAGGGTTTAGGGTTTAGGGTTGTAGGTTGTAGGGTGTAGGGTTTCGGGTTTAGGGTTCAGGGTTCAGGGTTCAACCTTCCAGGAGCTCCAGGGTGCTTTGCAGTTGGCGGGCGTCAGCCCAGCTCGTCCCCTCTTCCTGGTGCCTCAGCCGCCAAGGATCTGCATCACGTTTGGAAAGGGCTTTGGGCTTGACTACTATTTGCTTCATAAGAAGGGAATAGAAAGTATTCTTCCTTATAAGGGCAATGTAGGGGCTGTTATGGTTTTGGGGGTTTCTTAAGCAAATGGGAGTTGAGGGTTTACCGTGTAAGAAGAACAATAGACCCCATAGAAAGGTGCGCCATCTTGGCAGTCCCCCTTCAGACGAGGAAATAGGAAGCTGATGTATTGTTTCAGTACCTTACAAGCCGTTGTGCGGGACTTTCAGTGCCTGAAGCTTATTGTCGGGGTTCGGGGACCCTGAAAGGCTTCTCGCCCCCAAACACAAAACATCAAACAACAGCCTATTCACCCAAAATCCTCTTCCCCCCCTCTCCTCTCCCACGCTTTTCTACCCAACAGCTGTACACAGCGAGACGCAGGCCCGAAACATAATTTTTAGGCCGGCAACCTGGAACTCCCTTAAGCCCGACCCTAAACCCTAACCCTAAACCCTAAACCCTAAAACCCTAAACCCTAAAACCCTAAACCCCAAACCCCAAACCCTAAACCCTAAACCCTAACACCCTAAACCCCAAACCCTAAACCCTAAACCCTAAACCTTAAACCCTAAGAAAGGGCCTAATCGGCTCCCCAAGGCAACAAACAGCCAGGACAAGGAGGAGCTTCGGAGGCGCGAAAGGGGGGTGGCAGACGTTTTGGGTTTAGGGTTTAGGGTTTATAGGGTTTAGGGTTTAGGGTTTCGTTCGTTCGTTCGTTGCAGATAGAGTCTTGCGACGCTCCATGAATTCAGAGGAAGAGCCCTGAAACTCAACCATCCCATGCAAACCACACTGAGGCCGGGGCATGTACAGTAAAGACCTCATGTGGTCCGATCAGAACATGGCGGCCTTGCCTATGGCAGACCGTGTCTGACCGAGCGAAAGGTAGCCTTCCACTGAAAGTCAACAAAGCAACCGCAGCATATTTCTGCGGATCTTTACTGGGGTTGGGCAACCAACCAAGCAAAACTTCCCCAAAACCGACCGGATTATTCTCAACCAAACCATGCCAAGCGTGGACAAAATAGGGCACCTGAGCCATGTCGTCCAAGCCGACGAACTCATGAACAAAGGCTTCAAGCATGTTGGGAGTAGGTTCAACGGTCGGTGCATCCGCAAGCGCATCGGGGCTCAAAGAAGCCCAAAATGGCGCAGGGCCAATCAGAAAAGTGCAAGGAAGCGACTCCTCATCCACCTTATGCTGATCCTTCATTCCGGTTGCATCAGCATGGAAGTACACGTTTAAGCACTTTGGGGAATGCTTAAGGTGTTCTCTAAAACGCTTGGTCGTCCAGAATTGCCTTCTGCAAACTTCGCATGCAGTGCCAAAAGCACAAGCTGTAGGGAGTGATGCAAGCTTGTGTTTCTTGGCATAATGTGAAGAACGCGCAGCCTTGGTGGTGAACAGCATGCCGCAAACCTTGCAAGCCCATCTCTTCTGAATTGGCTTGCAGTCATGAATGTCGAAGGCAAGTACTTGCAAACCAGCGAGCACGCACAGCATTTGAGCCTTGACAAGGGCTTTGTCCCTAACACAGACTGCCTGCTGCAGCCACATCTTGCGTGCGCGTGCCAGAATGCGAGGATGCTCGGCATCGAACTGCGAAAGCAGCGCAAAATCCCCCAAATCACTGTCCTTCCCATCAAGCAGTGGCTGTGGGACACCTGTTGCTGCACAGATTGAGGCGAAGTCGACATACGCCTCTTGTAGCCAGTGCCCCGACTTGACTAATAGGTGCTGCAGAAAAGGAATTTTTGCGCGCACGACTTGGAAGAGCAGCCTGGTCCGCTCTATGGCGAGTGCTTGGCGCGGGCGCAAGATGCCAGCTAGCGCACAAACCTGACCCTCGGTGAGAAGTGTGGAAGGCACTTGCCAAATGGGGCGCACTGCGCGACGTGCCAGGGAGGAATAGGCAGCTGCAAACGCCTTCTTTTGCCCCTTGCTAGCCAGCGTCCAGGCACCGGCGCCATGGAGAAACTTGGACACAACAAGGGAAGCAAGCAAATGTGCTTTTTCAACCTGTGAGAGGTGCGGGTTGGGCAAGATTTTTGCCCGGACCTTCTTGAAGATGTCTTCGGCAAGCCCGGCCCTGCGCTCCAGGTCGGGTCCATCCTGTGCACTGGCGACCCTCAGAGAACCCAAATGCAAGTACTTATGCACGCAGCGGACCTGGAAAGACGACCCATCTACCCCAGAAGCCTCGACATGTCCTTGGCACTCGATGTCAATGTGATGCTTGACAGCCCGTGCGCCCGAACCGTGTGCAACGTAGAGCGCTTCCGTCTTGCCCCTCCCTAGATTCGTCTTGACACCGATAACAAGCAAGTTATCGGCAGCTATTTGTGCGGCAGTAGCAATTGCTGTTGGCAGTTGTCTTGCCATTGGGGTCTGAATGAGCAAGGCAAAGTCGTCCATCCATGTCGGGAGCGTTGACTCCAATCTGGCACCATCAGAAAGCGTAAGCTGTGCCAGAACGCCAGCCTCTAGCATGTCTTGCTTCATACCCGTGAGTGCAACAAGGAACACCAGTTGGTAAAGCAGGTCGGCAAGTGGGCTACCAGGCATTGTGCCAGCCGTAGTGGCAAAAATGCCGGGCTGTGAGGGATTGGTCGTGAACCAAGTGCGGGAGAGTAGGGCGCGCACAAGCGATTGAGTGGGCTGTGGCACACCAGCCTTGTCAAGGACCGTAGCATCATCGAGGAGTCCTCTAAGTCTAGCACGTACCTTGAGCGAAACAGGAAGGCCATCGAGCCACTCAAGGAAGCTATGCGCCTGCGAGTTCAGGATGTAGCCCCGGGCCGTGGCGAAAAAAAGCCGAAGAACCGTCAACAAACAAGACGGCGCCGCTCTGTCTGTTGACATGAAGCAACTGGAGAAAACCCTGAACCGTGACGGCAGGCAAACCCAGCCCTATACCCTTGCGTGTCCCTCCCGTGCCAGCCAAAGTGACGCGTTCAAATCCACAAAGGAGCTCATGCCTCAGCGCCTTTGCTAATGCTTTCCCAGCAATGTCAAGGATGGCAACGCTACGGAATCCCTCAACGGATGTGTGGCACTTCAGCGGCTTCTCTAAGGCAACTGCAAGGTGTCCTGTCCAAAGAAGCGGCGCAACCTTTCTAGACAAAATTTTGAGGACAACTGGGTAGTGAACCAAGGCCGACAAGTGCGGTTGGGCAAGGTAAAAGTCTGGAGGGATCTGGGCAATGCCAGCCGCCCTGCGCCCTTGCAGGGCCGCGAAAGCCCAATTCAGCTGGGCAAGCGAGGGCGCGCCTTGCACATCAACGACCTCTTCAGGGTCAGCAGGACCCTGCGGTTGAAGCTCAGCAAGCGTAGACTCGTACGCTTGCTCCGCCTCCGCAAAATGTTTGCCAAACGCATATTGGACTTTGGCAGCATCAGTCTCGAGGCTCCCGTCAAGCATCAAGCATGGCGAAGCACGGGGCGGATGGTATCGGCGGCCAGACTTGAGGACTGCTCTTAGAAGGTACGCGAGCCTGTGCGGCCCTTCTGCCCTTGCTTCTTGAAAAGTTTTCCTAGTGAACTCTGCTTCGTCCTTCTGGTAGCTGGCACGAACTGCCTTGGTGCTCTTCTTGAGTTCTCTAGGAAACAAGGCTTCTGCAACACAGAGGCGGCGGTCGGCCGCAGCGATCCTGGCAATGTTTCGGTCCGCCTGCTGAGCATTTCGTGTCCGCACATGTCCAATCACCCTACTCCAACCAGCAAAAGCCTGCGCTAGCAGATGTCTGGACCGCAGCTGCCGCCTGCGCACGTTGACACGACGCAGATGCCTGCGGTGGTGAAGCAGGTCCCAGGTGGCTTTGGAGATGACGGGCGACCGGGGCCCATCGGCCTGCTTGACAAAGGCGGACAAAAGGTTTTGTTGGATATGCTCGTTGATCCTTTTAACATGCTCGTCGATATGCACGGCCCACGGGATCTGAGGCACATTTTGCAGGATCTTTCTGATTTGCTGCTTGCCTGCAGGCGTGTGCATGGCTTCAATGTCGAGGCGACATCTCTTGCCAGGCTTGCGACCATGCAGTTGCAGCTCTAGCCTTGCTAGGAGCAGCCGGTGGTCAATGCCGGCATACTCGTCTAAAACGATTTGACTGCCAAGCGTGGTGCAAAAAGGCATCCATGTTTTAGGCAACAGTATATAGTCAAGACATGATCCTTTACCCTGCGGGGAGACCCATGTCCAAATAGGTTTGCCGTCCTTAAAGCATGGCGTTCGACTGAGATCAAGGTCCCGGATAAACTCAGCGAGGCGGTCGGCATTTGGCCCAACTGGCTCTTCCCTTCCAGCAAGGCGGTCATGCCTAGCGTTTGCATCGACCATGAGAACCAGAACCCTATCCTTTCTGTGACGCTGCACGAGAGCACGCAACTCGCTCCACCACGTAGCAATTTGGGTTACGCAGGAAACATTGGTGAGAGCGTGAGCTACAACAAACAAAATGCCATGGTCACCTAACTTGCCAGCAACAAACAAGCAGCGAGGTTGGCTGTGAAGCACAGCGAAATCCCTTCTGTCCCATCGCATGGCATCTCCCTGGTCATCATGTCCAAGAACTTTGTTACTGTCAAGCCACAATTGACAGCCAAGTTGTCCCGCTGTTGGTTCACTGGCAAAGCGGAGGATGCCATCGCAGACTTTAAATGCCTCAGTGCTCTCTCTGGCTTCCTGCACACCAAGAACTGCTATATCATGTTTTTTCATGTGCGCCTGTAAGCATTGCCGCTGTATGGCGCTGCGCAAACTGAGCACGTTGTAGGTGGCAATGCAAAGCTTGACCTGAAGGGCATGCCCGCTTGCAGCGTCATCTGTCGCCAGTGACCAGTCGGCAGGCTTGTCAACCCTTGAGCTAGGCACCAGGGACTCAGGGCACGTGAGTCCGTCGTTCTGAAGCTGCGGCCAAGGTCCCGAGCCGGCGAGCGCTGGCAGCCACAGCCAAGCGGCCTCAGGAGCAATCATCGCCTGCAAGAGGGCTTCTTCGGCTGCGTCTGCGGTCCCTATTCTGCCTTCAAGAGCAGCAGTAGCGAGAGCGTCAGCGAGCTCATTGCCTAGGTGACCGGTATGGTTTTTAACATGGCAGTAGCCATGTATCAAGTTTCTGGTTTCAAGGAGTGTGTAGGTTGTGCAGAGCATCGTGGTGAGGGGACTTGGCTCTGCAACTGAGGTTTGGCACTGTGCTGTGCAAGCTGCTGCTTTCGCGTCATACCACAGTGCAAGTGGTACTGCTCCAGCGAGTCCGACTGAATGTGCAACAAGTTGAGCATATAGCTCAGACTGATAAGCAGAGGGCACATTTGCACCCCACGCAGCGGATGGGACGCGGCCAGCCCTGAAGCCAGCCCAAATCCACCGCCCGCCCTGCAATGCCAGGACAGCAACGGCCCAGGCACCACGTCCGCTCGACTGTTGGAAGGCACCGTCAACGAACATCATGACAGCTTGAACCGGCAACGAAGGAAAGAAGACAGGACGGTGCGCAACAAAGTCCTTTGCTCCACTATGAAACTTTCCTCCACTAGGAAGTGTGCGCTGCAGTGCCTCTAGGGCGAAGCCCTCGAAAGTGCGCTCAACCATGTCAGCGACAACCCCAATGTTCAGGGCGGCTTCCTTTGGCTGCCGTTCAGACTCAATATCTTGCAGGTCGTATGCCCATTCAGGAGATATGCTTTCAGGCCCGGCATCCCTTCCACGCTCATCTTCGGGCTGAGTGCAGGCAATGGCTTTGTTCGGGGGTATGCTTCTGCTCCCGAAAGGGCAGGTCCCTTCTTGAGGTGGACCTGAAGCTGTAGCAGGCTGGTGGCCGCCTGAGCAGCTGTTCTAGGCTTGGACACACGCAAGCTTGCGTCTGCAACTTGTTCAGTCTGTGCCTGAACGGTGGCTGTAGGCATGTTGAAGGTGCGCAACAAAGAACTGTCCCCAGTCTCGAGGCTGGACAAAGCACCACCCTCGATGGGATCTGAAACATGTTGATGGATGCCATTCCCGAGGCTCGACAGGGAACCGCCATTCATGAGAGATGGCGCAACAAAGCTGCAAAGAGCGGCTGCGTGTTGAGAGTGGAGGCGGTTGAAGGCAGGTCTAAGACCCCTGAAACCCAAACGATTCAAGGGAACCGGCCCAACCCCACGCAGAGGACAAAAGTCTCTGCTAAAGCAGCTGGCTACAGCTGTCTGTTCGGGATCATCTTCAAGATCATTGAAACAAACTTTCAAAGGCAAGGCATGTTTGTACACATGAAGAGCACTAGCCTTGGGGGGGAATTCGTGCGTGCTAGAACAACAAGTGAGATGCAAAGAAGGAAACTCACTCTTGCTGCCAAAAGCCTCAGTACCGCACGTCGATGTAGGCTGCTGTTCCACCTCTTCGGATGAATTTCCAGCCGCCTCTGAGGTTGGCACATCGACTTCTTTGAGCCGAGGGTCTTGCATCTCTGGTAATTGGAATCCCCAAGCTTGGAGAAGGATACTGTGCTGAAGTGTAAGGGCAATTGTCTGTGCACGGACAGGTGTGACGAAGTCCTCTTCCTGCGTGACAGATAGAAACGGTACACTGCATTGTGCACCGAAAAGCTGCTCGACAGGCTCCCAAAAGGAGCCCGGAGCCCACAGCCCACGAAGTCCCTTTCGGCTCATCCGCGGGCACTGCCAGGGGGCATCACTTTGGCTTTCGCAGTTGGTGGCTCTTCCGCATCTGTTCCAGAAGCAGTAGCATTGCGACGCGGCGTCCTGGAGACTTCCCTTTCCAACTGTGGCGCCGTGTCTTTCGCTGCTCTGATTGCAGTGAGCAACGACTCCCTCTGCGCCGCCATCTGCATCCGATGCCTTTCCCTGGTCTCCATTCTCTTGGCTGCCTCCTCGGCAGCATCTGCAACCTGGGCCTCCGTCGCTTGCATGTCGGCGTCGTCGGCATCTAAGTCGATTATGTCCTGCTCCTGAACTGCCTGTTTCGCCAAAGCCCTGGATGCTTCCAGAAGCCGTTGCGTCCAGACGTCCTCGGCCTGGTCGTAGGAGCTGATCGTCTGCTCTCTTGCTGAGGTTTGTTCTCCTACTAGATTCAACAAATCGTCCACATAGGCGTTCCAACCAGCAAGGAATGCACTGCGCTCGCTCCGCAGTCTGCTTAACTCTCTTCTGGCTTCTGCCTGCTGCGCTACAATCCTGTGCATATTCTTGCTCTGTATCTTTTCGTCCTCGGACTTGTACTTCTCCAGCTGTTGAGCCAGCTCTGGGGACAAACCAGCTGTCTGATCGCTGATGTGGGCCACCAAAGCATCGAGCAACTTCTTCTCTGTACTCGAAGACGTCGCCGCAGTGGAGGTGTTCATCATCGCCTTCGGGAGACTTGGTGCCGGCGGCGCGGGCGGCACCGGCAGCGCACTCGTTGTGGGAGGAGCCTTCGTTGCATCTTTGCCCACCGGCCGCTGTCCTTTGCCATCTCCTCTGGGATGACTGGGGTTTGCCTTCGGCGCCCCTTTCCCCCTTCTTCTCGGCGATCTTGGCGATTCCCCACGCCGTGGCTGGAAGTCTCCCCGCCACGGTGCTGCTGCAGCTGGTTCCCAATAGGTCGGCTGTTGTGGTTGTGAGCTTTGTTGCCAATGTTGTCCACACCGGCCACAGAAATTCTGTGACAGCTTGTTGAGCTGTCGACAGCTCCCACACTTCCACGCTCTGGCCTCCATGTCTCCAAAGGCAATCAGTTTGGCAAACTTGGAAGGCAAACCTGATCGGCTGTGGTGCGTTTGCAGCTGTTTGACCGCCTGCTTGACAATGTGCAGCGGTTGTGGGGTATGGGGTATATTGCGTAGAAGAGTCCGTGCACTGGTTCGTAAGCGCCTCAAGCGCCTGTGGTAGGCAGGCTCCCTCTGTCGGCCCGCCGTAGCTAACTCCAGCAAACCACTGACTAAACAGCAAAGGAAAAATCAACCAACTCATGCACTGACAATGAAATATGCCAAGCAGAGGCTCGAAAGCAGCAATGCCGGCAAATCCCCCAGTGGCCTTTAAAAGCTGCAGCAAAGAGGGAGAATTGGAATGAAGGTCGCGGGCACAGCTCGGTGCCACGCTGGGTCTCTGGAAGCAATGGCTGAGTGGACCTCTAAAGGAAGAGGAAACTACACTCACCTCGCGAACCAGAGCGCCTGGGGTTTAGGGTTTAGGGTTTAGGTTTAGGGTTTCGGAATAATTTCAATTATACTACCAGAATTTACAGAACCCTATTCTAATGTTTGATATAACATTATACTACAAGAATTTACAGAACCCTATTCTAATCATTAAGGCCCCTCTATTACGTCTACGTATCGGCGCCCCAAAACCAGCACCTGCACATGGGGGGTTTTCCGAAACGAAGGGGGTAATTGCCAATCTGGGGTCCTTACGATCATCCTACAATTTGTGGGTCTATATTTGGGGGGTTTAGCCTGGTTTAGGGTTTAGGGTTAAGGGTTAAGGGTTGGGGGTTTAGGGTTTAGGGTTTAAGGTTTAGGGTTTATCCCATATAGCCCTAGAAACCCCTCAACTCCCCAACCCCCTCAAGCCCCTAACCCTTAAGCCACAAACCTTGTAATGTTCCCGCCTTATACTAATAGTTTCTGAATAGGGATGATAGTAGGGGGTACTATACTCCCTGTGTAAATGACTGTTAGTATAAGGGGAAAATCCCAACCCAAACCCCTTAAACCCACAACCTCATCCTTAATCTCTCACCGCGAGTCCACACCAGGGCCTACGGACCATAAACCCTAAGCCCATGTAGTCCCCGACCCAAAACCCTAAACCCCGTGAACCCTAAGCCCTAAAACCCCAGAACCCGAAACCCGAACTAAGCCATCAAACCCCCCAAAGCCGGAAAGCCCGAAAGCCCCGAGCCTGTAAAGCCTCTGAGCCCCATGAAACCTCCGTAGGCACCTGTCAATCCCAAGAAGCCCGGCCCTACAAACTCCAAGAACCCCCCCACAGATGCTCATGAACAAAAACCTGCAACCCCCCCCCCCCCCATAAGCCCATACAACAAAAAGCCCTTGTAAGCCCTTAGTTGCAAAAAGAGCCTTACAGACATATAGGCTCTTATCAATCAACCCCCTACAACGTCCCCTTTTGAATCCTCGCGAAATCCACAGGTTGCCCGAGATGGTCTTGCATCACTTCGGGGCGGCGACCCGCCTGCTGCAGGATGCCTAGGGTTTAGGGTTTAGGGTTTAGGGTTTAGGCTTTAGGGTTTAGGCTTTAGGGTTTATGGCTTAGGGTTGCTAAAAACCCTCGATGCCCTAGTAAAACCCTAAACTCAAACCGCAAAACCCTAACCCCTCCCTGTGGTCGCCCCTCTCTTTTTTCGGACCCGTTAAGGAGGGTCCTGGAGATTGCGGTGCTCTTCTTTCTGAGGTTGATGGAGAACCTTCAGCCATCATTGAGCTCCTACAAGCTCTAGCGCCTCAAACGTGCCGGGGTCGTGCGTACCGACATGATGGTAAAGACCCTAAACCCTAAACCCTAAACCCTAAACCCTAAACCCTAAACCCTAAACCCTATACCCTATACCCTATACCCTATACCCTAAACCTAAACCGCGGCCTAAACCCTCAGCCCCAAGCCGCAAAGCCCCTTGTTAATCTTAGTTGACGAGATCCTGGCTTACACGGCCTCATGGTTGAAATCTGTTAGGGCTTTGAGGGTTTATGGCTTAGGCTTTAGAGGGCGTAGGGTTTATAGCGCTTAGGGGCTATGGGGGTTTGGGGTTATAGGGTTTAGGGCTTTCCAAGTCTGACATCCCAACCCTCATGGCTCCTGAGTCTATTCAACCCCCCCCCTAAGCCCCTAAGCCCCTAAACCCCTAAAGCCCCTGAACCCCCGAACCCCTTTGCATAAACCCTAAGCCTAACGCCCTTGCCCCATACATAAACCCCCCCCCCCCCCCCCCCGCAAAAAAAAAGGTACCTTACATAGCTCCCTAAGCCTGAAACCCTTAACCCTAAACCATAAACCCTAAACCTGAAACCCTAAACCTGAAACCCTAAACCCTAGACCCTAAACCCTAAACCTAAACCCTACACCCTAAATCCTAAATCCTAAAGAGGAGATCGACCTCTTTGCTGCCATCCCGCCAGAGGCGCACCAAGGGGAGAACTGAGGGGTTGTTTTGGGAGGCTTTTGCTTTTTTGGGGGCTCAGGGTCCAGGGTTTAGGCGGTTTAGGGTTTAGGGTTTAGGGTTTAGGGTTTAGGGTTTAGGGTTTAGGGTTTAGGGTTTAGGGTTTAGGGTTTAGGGTTTAGGGTTTAGGGTTTAGGGTTTAGGGTTTAGGCGCTTTAGGGTTTAGGGTTTAGGGTTTAGGGCTTAGGGTTTAGGGTTTAGGGTTGGGGTTTGCTTTTGGAGGTTCAAGGCTTTAAGGGATCACTTCTCTAAATTGTGGCCCCTTCTTGGGTACCCTAGATATCAGGGGATGCCTTGTAATAAGGACCCCCGAAAGGGACCATCATTTAGAGGTTTGGCCAAGGGTTTAAGACTTCAGGGTTGAGGGATAGTTCGGGTACACCCGATCCTCGAGGACAATGCTTATACAGGGAATTGACCAGGTACTGACCGTGCTGGCAGTTGCTGAGGAAATCGTGTCTTACCTAAAACCGCCTAAAGGGGGAACCCTATTCATAATTAAAACCCGGACCCTAAAGCCTACGTTGAGGCTCGTCCTGTGGTAGAGCTGCTGATAGCGGCAGATGCCACGAGCTTTGCAACTTGGACAGAGTCCAACAGGGTTATTCTGGGACATGAGGGGTTTAGGGTTTATGGTTTCGGCTGTAAGGTTTAGAGCTCGTTACGCATGTGCTCTGTCCGTCTAAAGGTTGGACCCCATCCATACATTCGCGCATGTTTCTTGTCTTGCTGAGGTGGGAAATGCCATCAGCACGTTCTCCATGAACATCCTCATGGCGGGGTTTGTGATATTTGCGGCCGCATGTTGCACGCTTCTGTTTTCCGGAGTTACTTGAATTTAGGTTTCAAGGCCTTTGTTGGATAATTCTGCGTGTCACTCTAAACCCTAAACCCTAAACCCCAAACCTTAAATCCAAATCCCAAACCTTGAAGCCCTGAACCCCGCGCAAGCCACCCTCAGCGCTAGGCGTCTACGGGATGCCTGTAGTTGAAATTTCGACAGCTGGGTGAAGTAGGGGTTTGGGGTTAAGAGTTCAGGGTTTAGGGTTTAGGGTCAGGATGTTGCACCTGCTGACAACCACACCCTCAACGACTTTTTGGGGGCGGTACATGTTATTATGGTTAGGAGGCATGTAGCAAGAGAACGTGGTACCTCAACAAGAGCTTCATTTGGAGGTCGAGGCAGCAGACTTCATCTAAAGCCATGATATCAAGTTGTGGACCGCAATGACACACCCTACTAAAACACTGAACCCCGAAACCACACTTAAATCCCGAAACCCGAAAACCCAAAACCCAAAACCCAAAACCCAAAACCCTGCCTCCTAAGGTGTGTCCGTTGCCGGTTGAAACACTAAAATTTCACCCTAACCCCCAAAACCTCTAAACCCGAACTTCTATTGTGGTGGCCGTTGCTGCGCAATGGAACAGCCCTAAGGCGGCCAGAATGCCCGGCAGTAGCCGCTATCGCTTGTCTAGGTTCCCTCATAAACCCATTATGCAAGAAGGGGCACACCCGCCCCAAGCCCTTAGCCTAAACCCTTCACCCCAAACCTCCCTAAACCCTAAACCCTAAACCCTAAACCCTAAACCCTAAACCCTAAACCCTAAACCCTAAACCCTAAACCCTAAACCCTAAACCCTAAACCCTACACCATAAACCCTAAACCCTAAACCCTAAACCCTAAACCCTAAACCCTAAACCCTAAACCCTAAACCCTAAACCCTAAACCCTAAACCCTAAACCCTAAACCCTAAACCCTAAACCCTAAACCCTAAACCCTAAACCCTAAACCCTAGACCCTAGACCCTAGACCCTAGACCCTAGACCCTAAACCCTAAACCCTAACCCTAAACCCTAAACCCCAAACCCTAAACCCAAAACCCTAAACCCTAAACCCTAAACCTCCCTAAACCCTCCTAAACCCTAAATCCTAAACTTCAAAGCCCCATTGGATCTGGAAGAGTCCCTGGGTCCTTGCGCAACTTCGCAGGAGCGCGACGTGCTTGGCAAGCACCGGCAGCTCGGATGCGACCTTGCGACCTTGCGGGCGTTGGCCCTTTTCGTGTTTAGGGTTTAGGGTTTAGGGCTTGCACGAGCGGTAGGCTTTAGGGCTTGGGGGGGGGGGGGGGGTTTTAGGGTCTTTGCGTTTGGGGTATTGGGGCGCTCGGGTTTTAGAGTTCAGGCTTCTTGGGTTTTAGGGTTCAGCGCGTAGGAGCTTCTGAGGTGCTAGAGGTGGAGTTTCAGACGCAGAAGGGGGGGGGGGGGGGGGGGGGGGGGCTGCTCCAAATAGCTCCAAATTATATAGAGTGCCTGCACATCCTGCCTGAAAAGGGGCGCCAGTGCAAAGTACAAAGCCACAGACAAGGCAAAAATCAAGAGTCCGAAGCACCCAAACCAAAATCGTCGAAACTCCAGATCAAGTTCTATGTGTGCGGATTGAGAACAAGGAATTTATTGAGTTTAGCGGTTTTGGGTTTGTTTGTGACCTGGCTTGGCTACTTGCCTGCCTAGGCCGAAGATCAAGGGCTGCCTTTCTCTAAAAACCACCGAGGTCCATAAATCCCACCATAGACGGTATTTCCCGAAAGCTAAGTGCTATGCTTGATAACTGCATATTATATATACATATATACATCTATACATATATACATATATACATATACATATATATACATATATATATATATATATGCTATATATATATATATGTATATAAATATATATATATATATATATATATATCCTCTCTCTCTATATATATATATATATATATATATATGTATGTCTGTGTGTATGTATGTGTATATCTGTACTACACATATGTGTGTGTAGACCGGACCAAGCCCATGAACCCTGAAGCCTCTGCCAGGAACAGCACCATCTTCCAGGGCCTGGGCAGCGTGGACAGCTGGGGCTAGGCGCTCCCTCGGGTTTAGGGTTTAGGGTTTAGGGTTTAGGGTTTAGGGCCCTCAAAAGGGTTTTTAGGGCAATTTTATGGTCTTTCAGAGTCTTTAGGGATTTGTAGAGTTCGAGTTTAGTGTTTTTTTAATGGTTTTATAGGGTCTTCGGGGGTTTTGGGGGCTCAAGGTCTTTGGGTTTTTGATTTCTGGGTGTTAGGGTTTGGGTTTATAGGGTCTAGGGCTCCGGGGGGCTATCGTATAGGTTTCGAAGCCCCCCAAAGTAACCCAAAACCCCAAACTCCGCTCAGGGCTTATAGTGTTTTCTTGGTCCCAGCTGAGCATTGTTGGGTTTATGGTTTAGGCTTTTGAGGTTTGGGGGTTTCGGGCTTGCAAGGCTGAAGAAAGCCAGAACTCCAAACTGATGATTTGATACAACCCTAAACCCTAAACCCTAAACCCTAAACCCTAAACCCTAAACCCTAAACCCTAAACCCTAAACCCTAAACCCTAAACCCTAAACCCTAAACCCTAAACCCTAAACCCTAAACCCTAAACCCTAAACCCCAAGCCCAAGAAGCCAAGAAGTAAGACCGCGTTCCCCTTGCTCCTTGCGCAACTATTCCTTGATTTTTTGGGTGGGTTGGACACATCCCCAAGACCCCATGTCGTCATGGGCTTCCCTACTACCCCTCCATACTACCTGCCCTAGTTTCCCCCGCCCCCCCCTGGTTGAGGCTATTTCGGGCCTAATTAAGCCTAATTCAGCTTATTTAGGGGGGGGGGGGGAACCTATGGCGGGCAGCCCTAGACCCGAAACCCAAGCCCTAAACTTTTTTGGGATTATTGGGCTTAACGAAGGTTAACCTAGGGGGGGGGGGGAGGTAAATTATCATCTCTTAGCTCCGGGAATTGCAGGGTTTCGTCCTATCATAGGTGTTTCCTGCGCGCCTTACCCACACCTGCTGTCCCAGACCCCTCTAACAGTTAAGCGTGGTCCGCCTTAGGGTTTAGGGTATATTTTTAGGGTTTTCAAGATCTTCATGGTTGTGAGGCGTTCAGGTTTCTAGGCAAGCGGTTTAGAGTCCCTCCAGTGCCTCAAGGGCTACGGTGGGGGCACCGCCGGCAGGCTTCGTAGAGCCGAGTGGGTGAGAACCACGGGACGGATCTTTTGCGTGGACCCCTGTCAGACCCTTGGCTTAGGGGTTTTAGGGCTTGCAGGGTTTTGGGGTTTACACGGACATATAGGGTTTCTACTGTGGTTTATAGGGTTTATATGTGGAGTTTGTTGGGTTTATAGGGCTCATAGGGCTAATAGGGTTTACAGGGGTTATAGTTTTACAGGACTTACGGGGCTTATAAGGTTTCCAGTTTGCTGGTGTGGGGTCAACCTAGACCCTGAATTGTAATTTCTACCGAGGTGTACAGTGAGTATAGTGAAATTTGACAGTTAGGTACCGAGGACGAAAGGAATTGACATTGTAGGGTCAAGGTATAGTGAAATTAGAAAGTTAGGTACCTGGGACCTGGACAAAAGGGAGTGACATTGTAGGGTCAAGTGCCCTTTGGCCAGTTTTTAGGTTCAGCGTTCCCTTTGGGATGTTCCCCCTTCTACTAACAGTCGTTAATGGGGATAATAGCACCCCCTGTTAGTACAAGGGGGAACATCCCACGGTCCCCTTATAAAGTAAGCAACCCGCAACAGGGTACCCTTGTTGGAACATGGTTGCTTGGCTACTTAGGAGCTTTGCTTGACCATGAACCGATCCTCTGCCCATGTCATCCTTCTTTCTTGGTTTAGGGCCTAGGGTTGAGGGTCTAGGGTTTAGGGTTTAGGGTTTAGGGTTCAGGGTTAGTCTCTCTCATAAGCCCCTTGGGCGGGAAGGGTCCGCTTTGGTCACCCCAGCTCAGGTGCGTCGCCCCACTGGCCGACCTCGCAGCAACTCGCACCAGGATTTCGGGCCATGCTTCGTGGGTGTCTCAACAAGAACAGAAGGTCCTCTGTCACCAGTTTCGATGGCCCTGCCGTGCGACCAATATTTGACGGTCTTCGATCTCGATGATTCAGAAGTTCAGCTTCCTCTGGAAGACAACAAGTCTTGCACCCGGGCGCCGCAGAAAGGACCGGCTTGCGCCAGAGTGGCATGCTTGTCATGGACGATTCCGCGCCGCTGCTGGAGCAAGTTCAGGGCGAGGTCGTCACCTATATGTCATTCAACAGGTTCTTGGACGCTGTTTTCCTTATGCTGCACATACGGCATAAGAGCAACTTGATTGTGTAAATTTGTTCCAGGGGTTTAAAAGGGGCACGCTGCCGCTGCATTTCCGGCGAGGCTCTGACGGCCAACGCCTGGGCGGTGAGCGATGGCGAGCGTGATTGACATGGATGCAGAAAGATGCAATCTCTGCAAGGAGGTCGTGCGGTGACTGGAGCCTCGAGAATGTTGAGCTGCCCTTCGGCGACGGTTTTGACTCAGAGCTCGGAGAACGTGGGCTTGCCTGGCAGCTTGCAGCCCTCGAGCTCGGGAGTTTTTTTTGTCCACCAGGGCCTGGAGAACGTGGCCTTGCATGCTCCATGGTGTCTACGAAGGCGACCTTATGTCATGAAGGGGTTTTCGGGATTTAGGTTTTTACGGTTAACGGGCCGACACCGTCTGACGCCACCAACAACGGATGCTGTTGAAAAAATATTCTGCAACTGGCCGAAGTGTGATGCGTCGCCTCATGAAAGCCCCAAACGCCTCGGGGGCCAAACACCAAACGGTTTAGGGTTTAGGGTTTAGGGTTTAGGGTTTAGGGTTTGAAACAGACCTGAGCGATAGCCTGTTTTGTTTCTCCATATACATGCTGCCAATATGGAAGGCTTCCGGCGCTTGACTCCAAACCCTAAACCCTAAACCCTAAACCCTAAACCCTAAACCCTAAACCCTAACATGGCTGCTAGGTGCTTTTGTACTGACCATGGTTTACTTATACGGCTTTCGAGGGCACAAGTCAAGGGACTAAAGGAGGGATGCTTATAAGGTGGCGGCGATTTGGGGTTTATTGAGGTGCTGCTTGGGTATACAGGGACTATACGAGGTACAAATGGGGTTATATAGTGGAACAAGATTAAGGCCCCAATCCCCAAACCCTAAACCCCTGAGTAAGGGTTCCTTCTAGGGGTCCCTCCTTATACCCTAAACCCTAAACCCTAAACCCTAAACCCTAAACCCTAAACCCTAAACTCATGATTAAGGGTTCCTTCTAGGGGTCCCTCCTTATACCCCTTAAGCAAGGCCGGTGGATGAGTCTTTGCTTGCCCGGAGTTCCTGCGCGAATGCATGGCGACCCAAGCTCGCAGGGTTTAGGGGGATTAGGGTTTAGGGTTTAGGGTTTAGGGTTTAGGGTTTAGGGTTTAGGGTTTAGGGTTTAGGGTGAGTCATGGAGGTCTGTTCAGCTCGGCCTTAACCACGAGGCGCCGCCGCTCCTCACCGCAGCTGTGTAGCAGATTTTAACAAAACGCCAAGTCAAAGTCCATAGAGCCCAAGCCCAAGCATGCACTTCACACCCTCATCCTCCAGGTCAGTCCCTCCTCACCACTTCAAGGGGCGAAAGAACCCGTAGATGTACCATACTCAGGACGGAGTGCAGGCTTGAATCCAGCAATCTGTCGTGTTTTGTTGGCCGAAGTTCGGACACCCAACTCTAGCCAACCTTCCAAGCAAGCATCTTAGGGGGCTCCTAGGCCTAGGCTGTGCTATGGATTCCTGGTACCGCGAACGCGTACGAAGGACCGGCAATGTGCGTGAGGGGTATACCTGGAGTAACTTATGCGTACGCCCATATGAGAGGAGGGCGAGGGTGAATGCACCGCACCCAGTATACAGTGAAGGTCACCAAAGGTACTGCTTTGTGAAGCAGCGGGAGAGGAGAGCAGAGGCGAGCATCTTGACCCCCCCCCCCTAAACCCTTCAAGAACTCGTGCCCCTCAGGTTGTACCCTTAAAGGTTCCCCTTGCCCCCACTCTGGCCCTTATGCTACCTTAAGGATCCTTGAAAAGGGGTCCCCAAAACCCAAGGTGAAACCTGAAAAGGGTCGAGGATGCGGGCAGGGGCACAAAGGTGACAGATCTCAAGAGAGCTCCACGATGAGATCTCTGCAGCCTTGACGCGGGGGTTCGGGTGGTTCCAGAGGGGAAGCCCTAAGCCCTAAGCCCTAAACCCTAAACCCTGAACCCGAAATCCTAAACCCCAAACCCCAAACCCCAAAGTCAACCCGAAACCCGAGGCTCTCCCAAGTCTCCCCATCCCGTGCTTGCAGGATAGCCATCACAGCTTTGCACAGAAGGACCTCCCCGTCATTTTGCGGCCTTGCAAGATTCGTAGGGTTTAGGGTATAGGGTGTAGGGTGTAGGTGTAGGTGTGGGGGGGTTAGCGGCGCTCGGTTCCGTTACAAGAAGTCATGCTTTGTCGAGAGATTTCGGGGGGAATCTGTGCAACGAATGGCCCTGGGCGCTTAAGTTAAGGGTTTAGGGTTTAGGGTTTAGGGTTTAGGGTTTAGGGTGTAGGGTTTAGGGTTTAGGGTTTAGGGTTTAGGGTTCAGGGACGCCTCGGTGGTACTGCTTACAAGGCTTACAACCCACATACCCACATCAGGCCCCTTGGAATCAGAACCCTGCTTAATTATGTCGGCGCCCCTTCTTTTCCCTCAGCCCTAAACCTTAGACAGAACCCTGAATCCGAAACCCTAGAACTTGGGTAGTGCAGTAAGAGGATTGTTGTGAAGCCGATGTTGCTTACTTGGATGTGTTCAAGGCAGCCCCTCCCTGTCTTTAGGGCTTAGGGTTTAGGGTTTAGGTGAGGGGTTTGGGGTTTGGGGTTGCAACTGTTGTAAGGCAATGTCCGGGATCTCATCTTAAGGTTCGTCCGAGGACATCAGAAGGGAACCCCCTTCGAAGTGGGGACACGAACAGAGGAGGTACACAGTAGGATTATTCCCGCGATGTACCTCCTACATTCCTCGGGATCCCCTTGTAAGGT